TCGTTTTCCGGCCTCTAGAAAAACGAAAATTAGTCGTTGATTTCCGTTTTTCAATTTTGAAAAACACAATTAGCATATGCTTTAAATTTATCAAAGGGCCAACTGTTTCCTAAGCGCTTTTGGATTAAACAATAGTTTGTACTGTGAACGGAGGAGAGAGCTGAAAAATGTAATCCAGTTATAAGGAGAGCTCAGTGGATAATTTGACGTCACCGTCATGTACCGTCATCAGCCGCGCGGTGAGAGATCTGGTAACTGGTGAATGTTGCCATAAAATATGACAATGTATCGAGAACCGGCGATTTCAATATATTCACTTTGAAATAAATATTCATTTGTGTGTTAGCGATGCTATGGGTTTGTATCGCCGCCGTATTGTGCGATATATACTGGGAATTCTCGCATTTATCGCTGTAGTTCAGATTCTCACTACGCTTCACTTTTCGACCCTAAACAATGGCGAGCGTAGCACTTCGCGCAAAGCGACGAGACGAACTGAGGAACCGCCAACCATTATCCAAGACTCATCTGTCAAGGCTCCGGCGATTTTTGATCTACGTAAAAGCAAGGTATTTGTAAGTGCAAACGGATCTATGGTCCATAGACTGAATTTAATATTCTGTTAAAAATAGTTTAGTCTATCAAGTCTATACTAAATAATAACAAGCCAATTTACTATAACAAATCACGGAATAAACTTCATTTATTTTTGAACTTCAAAAACATATTTCGGCGCCGTGGCCTTTAACCTTCAGATCGCCGATCCTTTTTGACAACTAAATTTAAATTTTTATCGTTTCGATTTGGGATGAAGATAAGATTGACTGTCTAGAGTTATAGAATGCTCTATTGTTATAGACACTTAATTATTTATTTTGGCAAAATAAACCGGCGATACTAAATAGCAAGTCGAGGTATGCAAGTTGGTATTGCAGTTGCCACGTGTTACATTCCAAAGTGTATTCATACAATTAGACCCATATTAAATGTATCAAATTACGCAATAATTGCTACATTTTTATTTTTTTAGTAAATTAAAACCGCTAATCATGGGTTAAAAAACTGAATTTTATAATCTTCGAACCTGCAATTGCATATATTCGACACTTCAAGGCTGTCACCAGCAATATTAACAGGACAAGTGGTACATTTGACAATGCAAGGATGAGCCTTGACCCTATTAAATGGATTAACTGGAACATCAATCATTAATTGCATTCATGCCTTAGATAGTATTTTAATCTGCCTTAGGGAAAACAGTATTTTTATAATAGCTTATTCACAACCTTTCACTATGCTAACTTTATTTGTACAGGAGCTGCCCCCAAATAATCGATTATTTTTTTTAGGGTTTTTTTCTGCAATATTTGTTTATTCTTAACAATAATCAGATTAATCGGATAATCCTGCACAGCATGATTTCTCTTCATAGATGGTTTTATTAACTTTTGAAAATTGAAAAATCTGGCTGTGTTGCCAGACCCCTATATACACCCTACTTTGTTATTTTACTCTGTCTAACGCCAGGCAATTTTACTCAAAAAGGGAAAAGCGCTGGCACTGGATGGATTGTTAAGACACTTGGGCAGTCTAATTTACCCATTGAGAACCAGCATGTCATCTGGCATTAGACTGAGTAGATAGCATCTGGAGTAGGACACAGTAGGGTGCAATGCAACTTAATCCAGGATTAACTCTTATGCGGAAAATCAATATAGTCAATAAATATTGAAATTTCAAAAATTTCGATATTTGATTTTTCGAATACCAAAAATATCGAAAAACCAAAGCGAACATGTTAGTGTCTCTTGCAGAAAACTTATATGACCAGTCTTATGAACTAAATAATTCTTTTTAACATTCATAAAATGACCATATTGTAGTAAATAAACCTTTTGACATTCGATTAATAGTTTCACATAACTTTGTTTTTTGCCATTTTTGGTGCAGTATACATTTATTTTGCTGTTTGTGATGTGGTATATCGACTAAATTGCCATACATAATTTTCGTAATTTTGCTAATTTGCATATTTTCCATATAGTCTGGGTTTTTTTTCGATATCGATATATTGAAATTTTCCAATACCACAACAAGCCTACTAGTCAATGGGACAATACTAGCACTTTATGGGTTATTCAAATCAATACACTTTTATTTTTTTTAGGCCACAGATTTTGTGCTGGAAATTTTAAAACAATACAAAGACTTTGATTGCTTGTTGAAACACAAGGACATCAAATCTGCGCTATCGAGAGTGAAAACCCCGGAGTGCCGGAAAGTCATTCAAAAGACTGGATGCTTGTTAGAAAACTATAGATTATATTTTTCAAACATACGTAGAACTTGTCCAGTTTCGAAGTGGGTTAGTGGATATCCACGCGGTGTAACAGACAGCGTAGCATCGGGCCCTCCTGTTAGGGTTGTGTTCATGCTAACTGTGCATGGTCGTGCATTGCGACAAGTGAAAAGACTTTTAAAATCAATTTATCATAGTAATCATTATTATTATTTCCATGTTGACCAGGTTAGTGGAACAGTATATATTCCCCATATTGAAATGTGCCACAATGCATTCTACTTGAAACTTTAACTTGTCTAATACCGGATGATTTCAGATGCAGATTAACCCAATGAGTGGTAAGCACTCTCCCCCTAACAAGTAAAATCATCTAGCGTTAGACAGAGTAAAATAATCTGGCGTTAGACAGTCAGAGTAAAATAATAAAGTAGGGCGCATCTGGGCACATTGCCACTTAAAAGGTTAATCCTTCAAGTGGTATTACACCCATACTTGTTGATTTTACGGTTGTCAAGGGGAAAGTGTATGTAACTTAATGGGTTAACCCATTGTCGAGTCACATTGGAACCTGCTTTATTATTTTACTCTGTCTAACACCAGACAATTTTACTTGTCAAGGGAAGAGAGCTGGCACTTAATGGGTTAACTGGCATATCTACCCATGTGTCTAGTTAACCCATCGAGTCACATTGCACCCTGATACGCCCTACTTTATCATTTTACTCTGTCTAACGCGAGATGATTTTACTCATCAAGGGGCGAGAGCTGGCGCTTAATGGGTTATTAAATCAGTTAATGAAAGAAATAGGAAGATAGTTTTGTCAACTCATTAAGTTGCACCCTAATGCGCCCTACTTTATTATTTTACTCTGTCTAACACCAGATGATTTTACTCATCAGAGGGAGAGTGCTGCTACTCAATGGGTTAATGGGCTAACCTGAGACATAATCAATGTGCAATTAATACTTTCCCTTTGATAAGTAAAATCATTTGGTATTAGACAGAGTAGAATAACAAAGTTGTGCACATAACTTAAGTTTCCCTGTTATCCAATGCAAAGTGCTAAAACATAATACACCAAACTATTCTGTGGTATATTTCAGAGGTCAGATTATTTATATCGTGAATTAGTTGAACTGGCAGCAAGCTTGCCAAATGCCGCCGTAACTCCATGGAGAATGGCAACAATATGGGGTGGAAGCAGCCTATTGCAGATGCTGCTCAGAGCCTTAGATGACTTAATACAGAAAGAGGAATGGAAATGGGATTTCTTTATCAACCTAAGTGGATCTGACTACCCTATCAAGTAAGCCACTGCTTCGCGACTAACTCAAATAAGATTTTTCATATGCAAGATATCGTAAAAACCTTGTCTTTATCAATTTTTCATTGTCAAAGTTACCAAATATGATGTCTGTTGTTAAATAGACAAATTGTAAATGCAGCAGAGTCGTGCTACGAAAGGCAATGTTATATATTAAAAGCTTTGAATAATTTGGTACCCAGTTACATAAGTGAGTAAAGTGACATGTTTATGTTGAAGTCATCAGTGACTAAAATAGTACCAAGACTAAACTAACAATTGGACAAAAAGCTTTATTATACAGTGGTGCAACTCTATACAATACCTTACCATTTGAGATAAGACAATCAACATCTCTAAATTCCTATAAGTATAATTTTCCTTTGTTTTGCATGGCTGCTGAAATTCACTATTAAGTTTGATTCTGCATATTATATTTTTTTCATGTAAACTCTATTATTAATAAGTAATAGCATGGTTTCTCATATAATTTGGAAAAAACATACACTTGTAAGTTTTTCAAAGACTTTGCAAGTCTCTGTTGTGCATATTTTTTTCCAAATTGCACCCATTAAAACCATACTACAGTATTACATGTACCAATACGAATATTGACTATTATAATTTTCTGTTCACAGGACAAATTCACATTTGACCGAATTTCTCACAGCACATAGACATGACAATTTCTTGAAATCTCATGGCAGAGAACCAGATAGGTATTGTGTCAAACTTTTGCATCTTAATAGTATTAAAAATTGTCTGCCATTAGACTGAGTAAATAGCCAAATAGGGTGTATTGTGGAATAATGTGTTAAGAATATCCTCGACAGGTAGTCTGGCTAGCCTATTAATTAACCATTGAGTGCCAGTGCTCTCCCTTGGTGAGTAAAATGATCTGGTGTTAGACAGAGTAACATAATAAAGTAAGGGCACCCACCATTCCCTGTCCCATACAAATGTTTTGGCTGGTTAACCACTATTACTTTGGTTTTCACTAGTTTCCATCTACCAAACTGACATTATGTAATTTGATCAATTTCTAAAGTTGTTTCTTTCTGGATTTTTTCATTAATTTGGTTAGGGTTAGAGTTAGGGTTGCGGTTAGGGTTAGGGTAGGGTTTGGGTTAGTTTATACATAGCCATTTAACACCCCTTACATCTTCTGAAAATGACGTCACGTCAATTTCACAGATGGAAACTAGTGCTAACCTATTACTTTTGTCTCTAGGTTTATCCACAAGCAGGGACTTGATAGGACCTTTGTTGAATGCGATGAGCACATGTGGAGAATCGGGGATCGTGTACTGCCAAGAAATATTGAAGTGGATGGAGGGAGCGACTGGATTGGTCTAAACCGAAAGTTTGCTGAATATATTGTCAAGTCCGAAGATAACCTAATTACTGGGTTAAAAAGAATATACGCGTTCGCTCTTTTGCCTGCTGAGGTAGTTTAATGTTGGTTAAATAGATAGATAAACTTTATTTAAACACGCTGACATAGTACATAAATAGTACATAAAGAGTCACAGTCCGGTTATAGTGATCAGCTACACTCTTTAGGACTATTGTAGTAAATAACGCTATGCAAATGAGATATCTTTTTCAAGTAGTTGAGACACAAACCACGACAGCTTATTGTAGAATACTACCTGCACTGGATCACCACGTTTGAGATATCTTTTTCAGGTAGTTCAGATACAAACCACGACAGCTTATTGTAGAATACTACCTACACTGGACCACCTCGTTTGAGATATCTTTTTCAGGTACAGGTTCAGACACAAACGCCACGGCAGCTTATTGTAGAATACTACCTACACTGGACCCCTTGAGACAGGACATATCAATAGAATAATTGACGTCACTCTTTCAGGTAGTTCGGACACAAACCACGACATCTTGTACTAATTATACGCTCTCTCTCTCTCTTGCAGTCATTTTTTCACACTGTGCTACGCAATGGTCCACAATGCGAGACATTTGTAAAAACAAACTTACGTGTAACAAATTGGAAACGCAAGCTAGGGTGTCGTTGTCAATACAAGCATGTTGTAGACTGGTGTGGATGTTCACCCAATGATTTCAAACCAGAAGATATACCAAGACTACAGGTGGGAAATAAACGGCATTAAATTAAAACTACACTAATTTATTTATACTGAAAAATTAGTTTCATATTATTTATACTGGATAAAACTGTTCTTCCTAGAGGTCCAGTAAGAGTCATCTCTTATTGATCCGGTGTTACTACTGGAGGAAACCTAAACTAAACTAACTTTATTTATACTGGATAGCTCTATCAGTTCCAAACTGTTCTTCCTAGAGGTCCTGTAAGGATCATCTCTTATTGATCCAGTGTTACTACAGGAGGAAACCTAAACTAAACCAACTTTATTTTTCTGGATAGCTCTACAGTATCAAAGGGTCATCTCTTATTGATCCAGTCATACTACAAGAGGAAACCTACACTAAACTAATTCAATTATGATAAATAGTTCTATTAGTTCTAAACTGTTCTCCCTAGAGGTTCATTAAGATCAATTTCAATTAAGCAAATCTTATATTATTTCAGAGATCCAAGTACGATTTATTCGCGAGAAAATTCGAAGCGATTGTGAATCAGAAAGTCATCAACCTTTGGGACGAATATTTATTTGGGAAATTTTCTCCGGAAACTCCGGCGCTTGCCACCTACTGGGAAAATTTCTACCACTACCTAGACGATGACCGCAGACTCAACGATGCCCTGCGCACGTACTTTGCGTCATTTGGTCGCTTAGCAACAAGACAAGTCAGTTCTACCTATTGCAAGAACCTTCCGATTGGCGAATTCAAGGAGATTACATATTTGAACCAAGATGACGTGTTTAGCGGGATGTTGATTTTGCAAGAGATTAGTTTGAAAGGAGGAAGGAGTATTACAATGGAGACATGGTTGTCTAGAACTGATCAAGAGCAAATGATGAATTTAAATATGAGCGAGGGGCCCAACCGCCTGGCTGGATTACAGGTTAGTTACTACTGGTTGCTGATTAGCTAGAATCTCCCATAGTTGTCGCTGATTGGCTACAAGCTAACACACACACACAAACTTGCACGCACGATAGCATAACAAACAGACTAGACTTTATTAAGGACAAATGAATTTGGATATGATGAGGAACCAAGGAGTTCTGCTGGATTAAATGTTAGGAATGTGAAGGCGGGGGGGGGGGGGG